TTCCGGATTTAATTTTCTTTCCGGGGACGATTTGCCGAAGCTGGAGCTAAATAGGTCTTCAGGTGAATGTTTCGAGATTGATTCATTAAGCTGAGTTTCTATCGATTTCCCCCTTGATCTGCCATCTGCGAAATAGACTGTAATGCTTTTCGTGATTATCCAGAAAAATGCCAAGCAATAAGAACAGGGACACAAATACTAGGTCATTGAAAAACTATGAGACTGTATCACTATTTTTTCGCATTAGTACTGTCATTCAGGTTCTTTTTTCTAATGCTTAGTCAAAGTGTAAGTTAGCCGAGACTAGTTAAATATACGTATAGTTCTGAGTTAATGTCGGTGTTAAGTCGGATATCCTTTTTATCAATCGCATGCCAAACTAGTTAGGAATCTCGATCATGATGGGTAAAAGATATTGAAGCATTAGTAGGATTCCCTTCACTGTCATTAATACGCATTCAAACTCATTGATTAAAAAATATGAGTAAGGAATAAAAACACATTTGTTCTGTATTTATAGGCTGCTTTATTCAATAGATGATCAAAGGAGGTCAGTATTTAATATTGATGGAATACAGAATACCGATGTGCTTCGACGGAAGTACCTGTGCCAAAATCAATAGGAAATCTCGTAATGCCGTCTTTCAATCAAATACGCAAAATGTTCTATTATAGTGTTGCATGTATACATCCTGGGTAGCTAACCATGGGACTGTTCTATTTCATCTGTGATGAGATATGGCGCAACACTAGTTCATTTACACCGTGCGTTATGCAAGTGCTTAAAGGAGCACTAGTGATGACGGTGTAAACAGGGTCATTGGTTTAGCTTAGCACGCGGTTTGAACGGATTGGTGCTGCACCAACTCATGGAACGGCGCCTATGTCGCTTCACTTCATTTCAACTTGATTAACACATTCCATTTGAAGATACACAATTCAAATGGGCATTATGAACGCGCCAGAAAGATATTGGAGACCCTGGCCGCCATCTATAAGACGATATCAAAACCAACACCCTAGCAATTCAATTAATTTGGTATTAATACCTTTTTGGGGCATAACAGCAGAACGTAACATTCCTGTTTAAAACGTGAAAGTAAAGACCTTTCCTAAGAAATTTTAGATTCAAAATTAAAATAGATAAGACGCAAAGTTAAAGTTTCAGTTGAACCTTTCCAGTACACATCAAAAAATTTTCTTTGGGCCAAATAGCGTAGCAGAACATTTTGTGGCATTGATCTTTAGACAATGACTCTTACACTAATTTTCAATATTAACTACAGTTTGTATGTCATTTCATGCAAGTCAAATGAATCAAATGAAATAGTCAGCTGAGTGTCGTCTACGTAAGTTTGAATACTGCAGTGTTGAAGAGAAGCATGTAAATCAAATGTATAAACTAAGTAGAGTAACGGTCCGAACACGGAACCTTGAGGGACACCGGATGGAACATTTTCCATCGATGAAATGCCCTCACATTTTTTCACCTTCTGGGTATGATTGTTTAAATATGATTCAAAGAAACGTAGTGGCCCGTTAGTAAGATCATAAAGCTTCAGCTTACTCAAGAGAATACCACGATGTACCATGTCAAAAGCCTTAGAGATGTCTAGCAGAATCAGGGCTGTTGAGAACTGTTCATCCACATTTTTGATGATATGATCCGTGATGGTTGTTGTCGTGCTATGACCCGTACAGAAACCAGATTGATACTGAGGAATTATTTTATTTTGCTTAAAATGCTGGGCCAGTTGAATGTAAACAATTTTTTCTAGGACCTTTGACAATAAGCACAACATACTGATAAGCCGGAGGTGAGAGTTATTTTCGCCAGAGGTAAAATGATAGCTTCCTTCCAACAGATTGGGTAAGCTTCCATCTCTAGGAAAACATTGACAATACAAGTGTCGTGGTTTAAAATTTTGGGCAAGCAGAGATGTATCGTCCTGCAGCTAAGACCATTACAACCCGATGCATAGACTTTATGGAATATATAACATCGAACACTGCATGTTGGTCAACATAGTGAAAACTAAATAAAGAAGTGCTAGTGCTTAAAGAGTTAATTTTATAGTTATGAATGGTAGACTAGATTATCCTTGAATTCAAATTTGCAACATGGGAGTTAGATAAAAAGTATTATTCAGCGAGTTTAGTACAAGTAGATTGTCAGGAATTTCAATTTTACTGCGTCGGAAAATACTCAAGGGTTTTCCAAGCTTGTTGTGTGTCAATATTTGAAAGGTAAGCTTTTTTCTTTCTTCCTATTGAAGCTAAAGCATAATTTATCAGATCCTTGTAACGATTTAAGTTATCTTGATTACGATTTTATCTGAGGCAGTATCCCTCTGTGGTAGGATAAGTTTTAGTGAAGGTGTTAACCAAAACCCTAAAAGGGACATGATTATCAAATAGAATAGTGAGAGATTCAGTTAAAATGCATACCTTCTGTTCAATACCATTGACATAAAAAAGTCTATCCAAGTTCATGAGAGCTAAATCACGCTTAAAACTAGCTACACCTATATTTTTAAGATCTCTAGAGGTAATAAAACACGGACTGGGCTTTTTAATCACAACACGCAATTTACAAAAAGCTAACCTATGGTCAGAAATTATATCTTCATTAACTGCACCAGCTTTTGAAACAGTCTCCGAGCTATTTACGAAAACTGGATCAGTGAGAGTAGAGCTGAATTGGGTTACTCTAGTAGGTTCGTCGATGACTTGCGTAAAGTTATAACAATCAAAAGAAGTACTGAGTGGGTTGTCTGGATTGAGCAGGTCTACATTCATGTCACCTATGACTACGATGTTTTGAGGACCGAAAAATATGAGTTTGTCCGAAATAGCAATGCTGTCGCTTATAGAGCAGAGAGGAGGGCGATAAATTAGCACTATAAGATAGCTACAAGGTACTTTAAATTGACAACATAGTATCTCCAATGAACCCAGGTTGGTAGAGTCCGTATCAACTAAAACACAATTGAGGTACGATCTAGCAAATAAAGCAACCAAGTTTCAGTAATTGTAATAATATCAAATTTATCACGGGTTAATGCAAGAAGGTCATCCAAAGAAGCCAGCAAAAAGCGAACGTTTAAGTGACAGACATTAATCAACCATTATTGCTATTAATTGAGATACATAGGGCAGTTACGGAAATTAGAAGAATGATCAGTTGGTAATTTATTTTTAATTCGCTTATTATAGTTCTGGAAATTTATGCATTGGAGCGCGCTCGCAATAATCTTATATGTTATGATTTCTCGTACATTCAGGACAGACTAAATTAGATTTGCAGCCACTACTAATATGACCAAATGCACAACACTTACAATATTTCACAATACGTACATAATTACAGACTTCTTCCACCCAATGAACAAATATCCCCCTTGAAGAAACATCTTACGAAGTGCTGGTGTCACCTTAACGACAACATTAATGCTGTTGAAGTACTTTAACTTTGTATTGAATTAAATTTCAGCCTTACTAATATCCAGAGAACCATTCAAATAAATGATGCTGTCCAGGATACTATCAGCAGTGCCGATTCCGTTTAGGTTTACATTTTTTATTAACATTCTTGGATTGAGGTTTTTAGCTTCAGAGTAGGAATATTTGGGACCCAATTTATCACTCAAAGCATTTTTTTAGAGCTACTAGAGATTTTTTATCTTTGTAACGAACAGCTATTCCATTTTTAATCAACTTTGTACCGTTTACACAAACATTCAGGTTTAACAGAAGAAACGACATTATGTAAAATACTTTTAGAATCAACAACCTATAACATCGCTGAAAGTACTAGTACCTGGCAAAGAAGTCTCAGTTGCCCCAATTTTGCTTAATGAGATTTCAGTAATTACTTTTGTAGCCCAATAGCTTTTTAAATTCAGTTCCCTAGAAAGACACTCAACATCTTTTTCGAGTAAGTTGATTTCGGTTTTCTAGGTTTTGCCCTTTTTATTTACAGAGCAAATACAGTCATCACAGAGCCATATAAGATTTTCATATCCTTGACATAAATACATGGCGACTGGAATCTGCTTGCACACATATTGCAGCTGACAATAAGGTTGTCATTGCACACTTTACATATCTCGATGTCAGGTGCCATAACATCAAAATCATGGATCTAATTTCACTGATCTAACATATACATGCCAACGTATTCCTTCGAACACAGTTTTTGCTGCATTCCACTAATATACGAAAATACTGATGGTATTAAGCCGCGTACAGACCGACGCACGCCAAGGCACATGCGATTACAGATTTGGAGTGTTCGAATCGGTATGTACGGCGCGCGCCAACATAAACCAAAGGTTTTCAAGGTTGCTCGTTGATCGGTACATCAGAGGGATGTTTGATTTGGTCTCGACAGGATTTGTTGCGCTTCTAGGATTTAGTCGTTTGTCTTCATTAGATGAGAGGAGATTCGTTGCACCGAACTTAACAAAACGCGGTCCAACTCGAAACTAAACAACAACAACAACTAGTCTGAATTCGTTGGATACTGCTAAGTTTTACATTACGAGGATCAATAGAAGGACTCAAAATGGCATGCCCATGTCAAGTGAGTTGTTACACTAACAGTGAGAAGCATCGATTCGGAATAGTCATACGTTGGTGATAAAATTTTCGAGAAGGCGAGACAAAACTAAAGAAGGTATGTCTGAGCTAACACAAACAAACACCCGCACACAGAGGCAGATTGCATAATATACGTGCCCCTTCCCACTTCAGTTGGCCCACTTCAAGATTTGTACCAAAATATGCTCTTTATAAACTAAACATGACGAAACTATTTGCTTCTAAAACAATTTATTTTCTCAAAAACATTGCAAATACACTCTAGTCGTAAAAAATACATATTTGAAATCACTTAGACCTATAACTAATAGAACATCTGAACAAATAAACAATCTGCGAATAAATGCGCGAAGTTAACAAAGCAACAGTTGAAAGATTACCATTGGGCAACATCACCTTTATTTTCTATTATGGCTGAAATTCTTTGGGGCATAGTGTTAACCAAGTTTTGGCAAAAATTTGGTGTAAAACAATCTCAGACTTCTTGGAGCTTTTATCTCAGTTCGGTGATTGTACGAGCAGGATGTTGTCGTAGAACCTTTTTCATCAGATCTGGACTGCTAGAAACCCATTTCAAAAGTGGTACATTATTTTCTTCCATCCATTTTATAGCCTTTTTTGAGGTATGGCTCGCCGCACCATCTTGCTGAAACACAAAATCTTGGCCGGATGTCAAACATTCTTCCATCACTGGTAAAAGCGATTCTTCTAATATTGACAAATATTTGTTTGTATCCACATTTCCATCAATAAAATGAAGTTTTCATACTCATTTTGATGACATACTGCCTCAGACCATAATGGATGCTGGAAATTTCACTTTTCTCTTCAGGCAGTCAACATGGAATGCTTCATTTTTTTGCGAATAACTCTACTGCGACTGTCACCAACCCAAACTTCGAATCGGCCCTTATCACTCCATTGTATTGCACACCATTGTTGAGGTATCCATTGTCTATGTTCTTTAGCCCATCTAAGCCAATTTTTCTTTTGCAGTAGAGTTTATAGTGGCTTTTCTTTGGCCTATAAACAAGTTGTGCAACTTTAGGGTTTTTACTTCACTTTTTTTTATAAGAAAACTTACCTTACCTCTCTATGAGTTGTGGACCTCGAAATTCTCCTACTAAATAATCCTTCAACTTTAATGATTGCCGATTATTTGAAAAAGTTGGTTAGATATGTCCATGAACCTTTTTGGACGGTCAATGCTGAATGTCGCCGCGCATTGGCTACTACAAGAGTAACCAAATTTAAATTCATTTGATTCAGTTTGCGGTCATTTTAATAATATATTTAGTGGAGAGGCCGGTGGAAACATTTCACAACCATAATATATGTAATTGCTGCCTGTAATAACGAAATCATACCTTTTTGGTATTATTATTCTTTGAGGGTACTATCGGTTGCTCATTACATTTGTGGAAAGATGCATTAATTTCTAGTAGCTGACGTCGACCGACTCTCTCTATTTGGGCCGGATCAGTGGGAGTCTGATGTCGTTTTTGACGGTTTTTCAAGATTTGTTCGCCTATCATTGAAAATATCTATTTTTCCTTTCGCAATGTATGTGTACCCACATGCTTTCATGGGGTCATATACAACAAAGAACAAACAGTGTCGCAATTAGCCGAACCAGCTTTTACAAAAGAAAGACTTTTTCAAATAAAATATTCTTTGAAGGCATAGATATTTTTGAATTTGTTATGAATATGAAAATAGGATAGCAAAATCTAGAATAATAAAATATTGAGAATTTTTGAAACCATAGCCGAGTGCTGAACTATTGCATCATACTAGTCCATATAAGTCCATACGATCATCAGAAAATATATAGATATTGCTTAGATCATACTGACTTATTAATCGTGACCAATTCCCGTGGGAAAAGTACATACAAAATACGCTGTAAAAACAGTCGAGCAATGTGAAAGCAAACTAAAGGTATCCTTGGCCGCAATGTAGATGCATAGCGATGTCTCAAGAAATAGCCCGTATATCTTCGTTTCATGGAAGTATAACGATAAGTGCAGATATACATTTCGTAGTGTTGCTAGATAGCGGTATAAACAAAAATTATTGAGGGTGAAAAATCCGGTGTCGTAACATAAATCCCTTTAATTAGCGTTACGGAGCGTATTTAATGGAAAAAATCTGGAAATATGAACCGGCTAGAAGCGATGGCGACTAGAATATTAGGGATAAATCGTTTGCAGGCAGGGAATTTGCTGTTGCTGCTGTCCGAATAGTGTTTTTCTAGATACACAACTTGTAGGATCAAATGGCATATGGTCACGGTATCGTATTTTTATCTAGAACTTCCCCAATAGATATACAGGGTGTTTTCCCTGTGTTACCGAAAGTCTTCTGTAAGTATTGGATGCTACTTTGGCGAAGTGTAGAGGTCATCGATTATTTCGGAGTCGATGAGAATAATCTGTTAGCCATAGGTCTTCTACTGCTTAGAATAAACTCATGAATTTTCATAAGGTTCAAAACCAAGATTCCTCGACATGACGGGTCGTATCTCAAATCGCACTCATTCTTTTTCAGGAGAGTACTCTTGGCAGCATGAAGCCTTGTAAAATTTCAGAGTCCAAGGTTTAACAGTTAGATCTGAAGACGCGATTAAAGCTTAAAGGTTTGAAAAGAGTGCAAGTTTTCGCGTTTTGGTAACTCTTCTATTTTCTCGCTTCTCCTTTTTCTAGAATGCTTTAGGTTTCAACTACTCTAAAGTGTTGTTTTCCAAAAAACTTAAAAATGACCGCCAAGTTGTGATCTAAGAGTTCGTTTGGCAGGTGCTCTGACCGAAACTTATTTCTTCGAAGTTAGCCACTGACTCATTGGACTGACAATTCGAATGTCTTCATAAATGAAAAATTCGCAAAATCAATTTTTCTCTAAAGAAAAGGATCAACCTATGTAAATTGAATTGTGTACCGGCATCTTTAAATTGGCCGAATAGCCCTTTGGATCTGATTTTCGATATCCTTGATCAGAATTGTCACCTTTTATGATACTGAAGTCGAGTCATGTCATAAATCGGGCATGTTTGGGGCTCTGCCACCCCACCTACATTGTCTAGACTTGATGCTGTCCAGAGGAGGGCTGTGGATCAATGGAACTCTAATAGACAGTCTTTGGACCCCTTCGCACCGCCATGTCAACAAGCTTTGCTTCTTAGAGCTCTCCTCCGTATTGTCGCCGCGCGTTGAGCCTGCCAGATGGACCCGCCACGCTTCTGCCACCCATCATAACTCTGTCGAACTTCGCACATCGAGAACTGCCTGGTATTACCGCTCCTTTATTTCTAGAGTGAAAGATTGTGGAACAGCTGTTGTGCCCCGGTATTTAGAATTCTGCCTACGCAACTGCCTAAAGAAAACATTGCCAAGTATAAGATTAGTTCAATTCATTTAGAGGAAAGTTGATCAGTTGATATGGCGACCTTGCTCGAAAAATTCCATTACTAAACTGTAGAAAATACTTGCTAACGTTGGAGGTGAATGAGCTTACGTCCTTTTAGTACTCCACTGTTCTGATCGATCACAAAATGTATGTCGCTTATTTCAAGCCCCGGCATCAGATTAAATTTAAGAACGGTCAAAACATTGTTAAGGGCATGTTATTTAGCCTGCTAGATATACCAAGAGCGAATTTTTAGAATAAATCGTATCGAGGCACGAATACTGGTTCACCGCTGAAAAGTTAGTGTTGTTGAACATGTCGCATACAAGTAGTTTGAGTTCTCACTTGCAATTTTTTTCAACTTAATTGACACGTGTTGCATTTTTCCTCCATTTGGCCACGTTACACTTAATATTGTCATTCCGTTGAGGAACATCGGAGCTCTACAAATTGATGCAACTCTGGTCTTCGCAAGCGCTTTGATCTGTCGCCAGGATTTTTCCATTCACCTCACAAATTTATATCCCTGTTCTCATCCATGGTAGCCTGATACTTCTAATTGTTCTATGTCCTTGGCTGTTCCAGCCTAAGGCCATTCTAGCTAACTGATTCGTATTTCCCTTTCCGTAGTATGTGACTTTTCCAGCGATTTTGATGAAATCTTTAAATAAGGTTATCTACTACTATGCCACGGCCAAAAAACTCTCTGTAGTTTTTGAAAATAGATCCAGTGGCAGCGGAGTTACAGGCAAAAAAAACAAAAAAAAAAGTATAAAAATCGCTCATCGTCTCTCTTTGACGTTTCACAGGTTCCTGGTCATTTTTAGAAAAAATTAGCAGCTATGTTGAAGGTTGTAGGGAGTTAGGGGAGAGTAAATGTCAATTTCTTCGTGCTATTAATTTATACAGGGTCCGCCAAAGGAACCATAACCAATAGTCACAAGCCGTGAGATCGGGAGACCTTGCCGGCCAAGGAACATCTCCATTCCGCGAAATGACTCTTCCTGGAAACATTTCTCGCAGTCGAACCACTGTTGCTCGTGCTGTATGCGCTGTGGCGCCATCTTGCTGAAACCATACAGTATTTAAATCTATGTTCCGTCGACGAAGCTCTGGTTCCAAAAATGTGTTTAACATTTCCAGATAACGTTGCGAATTGACCGTGTGAATTTCCAGCATCGTCCTCAAAAAAATAAAGTCCAAATATGCCGAATCGCGACACTCCGCACCAAACAGTAACCTTGCGACTATAAAGGGGTCGCTGGTGAAGTTCTCTCGGGTTTTCTGCACATCAGTAGCGAAAATTCTGCTTATTTACGTAGCCTGATAACACGAAATGCGTCTCATCAGACATAATTAAGCCACCTAAAGCGTTTTCATCAAAATGTTCCAGAAACTGGTTGCTTGCAGTCAAACGGTTCAAAAAGTCTTCAGCTGTCAGTTCTTGAACCATCGCTAATTTGTAAGGGTGATAATGTAAATCCTTATGCAAAATACGCCGCACTGTTGCTTCTGAAAGCCTTAGACTAATTGCTTGTAGCCTAGCTGAACGACGTGGACTTTGCTGCACCGCTGTTCGCACCCTCTCAATATTGGCTGGAGTCCGAACTGTTCGACGCATTCCTGGTGGCTTAGCTTTCATTGCTGATGCAGATCGACGAAAATTTTTGACCCACAACTTAATTGTGTTACGGCATGGAACAGAACCATGACGTCCGACATTGAAATGTGTACGAAATAGACGCTGTGTAATGATCACCGAGTCGTGATTTTTAAAATACGTCTCGACAACAAATGCACGATGTTCACTTGTCCACAGCTCCATGACTACTGAACATCTACTACCGATGTCTTGCCCACTGTAACCGATGTTCTACCTCGTACTATCCATTCTGAAAACTTCAGGTTCCTTTGGCGGACCCTGTACGTTTCCTACACCAGTAATTCTACGTACCTAGATTTCACAGTATATTTGCCCTTAAAACTTGCAGAGTTGCCACTTTGCTTGG